TAGAATCCAAGGCAGAAGGTAGGGGGAAGAAGAGTGTTACCAACTGAGACTAAACCAATCACCCGTTAGGAATAGTTGGTAGAGTCCAAGGCAGAAGGGTATGGGAAAGGGTGATACCAACTGAGAATAGCCCAGCCTATCACCCATTAGGAATAGTTGGTAGAGTCTAAGGCAGAGTTGGGGTGGAAGAAGGGTAATACCAATTGGTACTACACTAATCACCCATTAGGGGTAGTTGGTACAGTCTATGGTTGAAGCAGTAGGAAGATGGGTGATACCACCTAAGATTAGGAAAACAAATCACACATTAGTTTACTTGGTAGTGTCTAAGGAAGAAACAAGTGGGGGGGGGGCAAGAAGAGTGAAACCCACTGATACTAAACCAATCACCCATTAGGAGTAGCTGGTAGTGTCTAAGGCAGAAGAGGGTGTGGGGAAGAAGGGTGATACCAACTGAGATTAGATCAACTAATCACCCATTAAAGTAGTTGGTAGAGTCCCAGGCAGAAGGTGGGGTGGAAGGGTGATACCAACTGAGACTAGGACAACCAATCACACATTAGGATTACGTGGTAGTGTCCAAGGCAGTTGCAAGGGAAAGAATGAGGAACCCAACTGAGACTAAACCCATCACCCTTTAGGAGTAGCTGGTAGAGTCCATGGCAAAAGGGTGGGCGAAGAAGGGTGATACCAAATGAGACTAGGACAACGAATCACCCATTAGGAGTAGTTGGTAGAGTCCAAGGCTGAAGCGGAGAGTGGGGAAAGAAGGGTGATACCAACTGAGACTAAACAAATCACCCATTAGGAGAAGTTTTTAAGAGTCCATGGCAGTAGTGGGTAGGAGTGTGATACCAACAGAGACGAGGACAACAAATCCCACAGTAGTAGTAGTTGGTAGATTCAACGGCAGAGGAGGGGTGTGGAGAAGGGTGATACCAACTGAGATTAGGACCACTAATCACTCATTAGCAGTAGTTGGTAGAGTCCAAGTCAGAAGGGAGGGAACAAAGGGTGATGCCAGCTGATAGTAGTCCAACCAGTCACCCATTAGAAGTATTTGGTACTGTTCAAGGCAGAAGTGGGCGGGCCATCGGAGGGTGGAATAAACTGTGACTACAGTAATCATCCATTAGGAGAAGCTGGTTGAATCCAAGGCAGATGTGGGGGAGAAAGACAGAAGGGGGATACCACCTGAGGATAGGAAAACCAATCATCCATTACGAGTAGTGGGTAGTGAGCAGCACCTGAGGCTCAGTGAGTAGGGCTCTGGACCCATATACCAAGGGTGGTGGTTTTGATCCCAGCCCCAGCCAAATTGCAATAACAAAATAGCTGGGTGTTGTGGCAGGCAACTGTGGTTCCAACTACTGGCGAGGCTGAGGCAAGAGAATCGCCTAAGCCCAAGAGATGGAGGTTGCTGTGAGCAGTCACACCCCAGCACTCTACCAAGGGCAACAAAGTGAGACTCTGTCTTGGAGGGAAAAAAAACAAAAAGGAAGAAAGAGTAGTAGGTAGAGTTCAAGGAAGTAGTGCAGGAAAGAAAGGGGATATCAATCGAGACTAAAAGAAACAATCACCCATTAGGGGTAATTCCTAGAGTCCAAGGCAGAAGGTGGAGAGAATGAAGGGTGATAGCAACTGAGTGAAGGGTGATAGACAACCAATCACCCGTTAGGAGTACTTGGTAGAGTCCAAGGAAGAAGCAGGCTGGAGGGAGGGGCGAAGGAGAGTGAAACCCACTGAGACTAAACCAATCACCCATTAGGAGTTGCTGGTAGAGTCTATGGCAGAAGGGGTAGGGGGAAGAAGGGTGATACCAAGTGAGAGTAGATCAACCAATCAACCATTGAAAGTAGTTGGTAGAGTCCAGAAGCCAGGGTAAGATGGTTGATACCAAAAAATCACGTTAGGAGTCATTGGTAGTGTCCATGGTAGATGGGGAGTTGGGGGGGGGGAAGAGTGAATACAACTGAGACTTGGCCAACAAATCTCCCATTAGGAGTAGTTGGTAGAATCCAGAGCAGAAGGGAGTGAGAGCAAGAAGGGTGCAACCAACTCAGACTAAACCAATAACCCCTTAGTAGTAGCTGGTAGAGTCCAAGACAGAAGGTGGGGGAGATGGGTGATACCAACTGAGACTAGGACAAGCAATCATCCATTAGGAGTAGTTGGTAGAGTCCAAGGCAAAAGAGGGAGGAAGAAGCATGATACCAGGTGAGACTAAACTAATTACAAATTAGGAGTAGTTGGTAGAGACCAAGGCAGAAGGAGGGGTAAGGGTGATACCAACTGGGACGAGGACAACCAAT